TGGAATTCCTATTACAAGCTCGGCCAATGACTCTAGTTATGGGCTAAGTGTTTGCATGAATATCGAAACTTGATTGGGGGACAGGGAAGCTCCCGAAATGTGAGGTACCTGCTTCTGCTGCTTCTACATCGCCACTCTGCCCAGATGTATACACAAGCTCCAAGCCACACAGGTCGACCTGAACCTGTTCCTCTTCATCTCGAGACTTTCTAGATAGAAATAGAAACCTATAAAAATCATTATTCTCCTAGAAATCTAGTATATGCCCAATATTAGATCTCTTTTCCCTTACATCTTACCCGTGGCGGTATTATTAACCGCCTTCCTACTTACACATCTATACCCCTCCCTACTCTCAAGCCACATCCCTTCTAGTCTCCTAACGACCCCCCATCGTCTTACTCTAAACTCCTTCACATCCCCAAACACAGACTCAGACGCCAAGATGGGAGGCGGACCAGAGCAGTTCCGCACCGTGGCCTACTTCGTCAACTGGGCCATCTACGGGCGGAAGCACCGGCCGCAGGACCTACCCGCCGACAAGCTGACCCACGTCCTATACGCCTTCGCCAACGTGCGCCCGGAGTCCGGCGAGGTCTACCTCACCGACACCTGGGCCGACACCGACATCCACTGGGAGGGCGACAGCTGGAACGACGTCGGCACCAACCTGTACGGCTGCATGAAGCAGCTGAACCTGCTCAAGCGCCGCAACCGCAACCTCAAGGTCCTCCTGTCCGTCGGCGGCTGGACCTACAGCAGCAACTTCAAGCAGCCGGCCTCCACGCCGCAGGGCCGCGCCACCTTCGCCAGCTCCTGCGTCGAGCTGATCAAGAACCTGGGCTTCGACGGCATCGACGTCGACTGGGAGTACCCGCAGTCGCCGGCGGAAGCCGCCGACCTCGTCGCGCTGCTGCACGCGACGCGCGACGCCATGGACGCGTACAGCCGCACGCTGCCGGCGCCGTACCACTTCGAGCTAACCGTGGCCTGCCCAGCCGGCGCGCAGAACTTCAGCAAGCTGGACCTGGCGGGGATGGACCGGGTGCTCGACTTCTGGAACCTGATGGCGTACGACTACGCGGGGTCGTGGGACGCGACGTCGGGGCACCAGGCGAACATCTTCCCGAGCGCGTCGAACCCGCGCGCGACGCCGTTCAGCACGGCGGCGGCGGTGGACCACTACGTGTCGCGCGGGGTCGCGCCGCACAAGATCGTGCTGGGGATGCCGCTGTACGGGCGGGCCTTCCAGGGCACCGACGGGCCGGGGGCGCCGTACAGCGGGGTCGGGGAGGGCACCTGGGAGAACGGCGTGCACGACTACAAGAAGCTGCCGCTGCCGGGGGCCGCCGAGCACGTCGACCGCGAGTCCGGCGCCAGCTTCTGCTACAGCCCGGCGACGCGGACGCTGGTCAGCTACGACACCGTGGACATGGCGCGGCGCAAGGCCCACTACATCCGGCAGGAGCGCCGGCTCGGCGGCGCCATGTGGTGGGAGAGCAGCGCGGACAAGGAGGGCGGCCAGAGCCTGATCGCGAACGTGGTTGATGTGCTAGGCGGGCCGTGGGCGCTAGATCGCACGCCGAATTGTATCACGTATCCGCATACCAAGTATGAGAACCTGAGGGCTGGGTTTCCTAATAACTAAGAGGGAATTGGGGATGGGAACGGGAATGGAGGCATATGGGAACAAAATGGCTAAGGTTTATGCTGTATGGGGGGGTAGATCAGATAAATCCCTGGGAAATGGCAAATAGAATTTATGAAGGCATACCTACCCAAGCACCTAAAGGTGGTTATTAGAATATCAGTAGATATTTGGCTGCAGATGGGCTCAGCCATGAATGAAAATGAGAAAAACATTGCCAGTATCTTGACCTAGATCACCTAGGACAACTGTTGAAGACATCATCACTACTTGGTACTCGAAGCCATGCTGACAAGCAAATAAGTAGACTAGAGATTATGCTGTATCAATAAGAATGTATGGCCTTAGGCAGTTAGGGAACGACAAGGGAGCTTGTTAAGTAGGTAAGGATCTAGTAAAGCGATTCATGATTTCACAGGAAATTCAGGTATGTGAGTTTGTTCATTGTGTATTCATCTGAACTGAGCCAAGTCATCTATGTCCGATCATGATAACACCGTGAGGCCCGTTCCCATGTTCCGAATCCCCAGTCCCATGCACCCGTCAAGTCGAGACAAGAGGTATTTACTGCTTGTCGAAAACGTAGGTAAGGTGGCATCGGCCGCAGTACTGTCGGTCCTGCATGGCAGCCATGAAGACACCGGCACCACACTATTCGAGTCATATTAGTATCGTTGATGATAGTTGAAGAGAGTATAAAAAAAGTGTATAAAAAAGTGTATCAAAAGGTAACTTACAGTATCGGCAGGGCATTCGCGGCGAAGACGCTCGATCTTGCCATCACCGTCGACCTTGTAGTACTTGAGAACAGCTAACTTGGTCTTCTTGCGCTTATGCTTAATCTTCTTGGGGGTAGTGTACACCTTCTTCTTGCGCTTCTTGGCACCACCACGGAGGCGGAGGACGAGGTGAAGGGTGCTCTCCTTCTGAATGTTGTAGTCGGAAAGGGTACGTCCATCCTCGAGTTGCTTGCCGGCGAAGATCAATCGCTGCTGGTCGGGGGGGATTCCTTCCTTGTCCTGAATCTTGGACTTGACATTGTCGATAGTATCGGAAGACTCCACCTCAAGGGTGATAGTCTTACCCGTGAGGGTTTTGACGAAGATCTGCATGATTGCCTAGTTGGTGAAACGTGTTAGAGGATAGTTCGTATAGACGAGTGGATGGATGATTGTGTTATAAGTAAATGTAGTTGTACTGTTGGTGTATGATGGTATTGCAGAAGACGAAGATCGAGAATATTCAAGATGGGTGGGAGATGCGCCTCAGCATCGCGATGCGATTAATTATGCGATCGCATGCAAAGTTCAAGGTGCTTTGATAAATAGGAGATGGGAAGATGCTGGATGTGAATGTAAGGGCATTGCAGTGATTTATTAGACGTACCTAGACAATATTGCTATTGCCGTCCTAAGCAACCGAAGATATTTTGGTTTGTGAAAGAGAAGAAAAAAGTTCAAGGTGGGAGGAGCCGCAAGAGTTGGAAAAGGTACACTACAGTGTAGTGGGTCCTGGCAAAACTAGGGCAAATCGGTGTGTCTCACTAAATAATTTATCACGTGCTAGGGTTTTCTCTCCCACTAACCCTGTTACAATTGGCGGCAAGCACCTACCAGCTGCCTAAGTGTATGTAATCATTAAATTCAAATTGTTTTCTCATTGGTTAGCTTCTTTTCTTGTGCAGTGGGGCACACTTAGACATTTCTGACCAGCCAAAACTTTGCCCACCAATATTCAACATTCAATTCCACCAAACCAAGAACCACTTTCTTCCTCTTCGACAACTTTAATCAACCACAACTCGTACGTGCCACCATCTCCTCTTCTCATTTCCCTGATGAGACTTCTAATTATTCGAATATTCGAATCGTATATCTAACATTGTATCAAATAGAACACCGTCATCATGGTCAAGAAGAGAAAGAACAACGGCCGCAACAAGAAGGGTCGCGGCCACACCAAGCCTATCCGATGCAGCAACTGCTCGCGATGCACGCCTAAGGATAAGGCAATCAAGCGCTTCACCATCCGCAACATGGTCGAGTCTGCCGCCATCCGTATGTCTTCTCTTGCTTTCCGTTTCCTCTCTTACCTCCGTCCCCTGTACTCCATCCTATTCTACTCTACCATCATAGACAGAATATGCGAACAGGAGAATATGCGACATCTCATATAGAAATAGAACTAGGCTAACATACTCTAAATTATAGGTGATATCTCGGATGCCTCCGTCTTCACCGAGTACACGGTTCCCAAGATGTACCTCAAGCTGCAGTACTGTGTCTCTTGCGCCATTCACGGCAAGATTGTCCGGTACGTCCTCCCGTCGGGAGTTTGACTACGCGCTCATCAGGGCTGCGTATGCGCCTGAGATGAACCTTGGTCGAATCTCGAACCGAAACCTCTCCCTCCTCCCTGTCCCCACCACTCGAACGAGCAATATCCGCTAACAATTCTATTTTCTAGTGTCCGATCGCGCGTAGGTCGCCGTAACAGGGCACCTCCCCCTCGTGTGCGGTACAACAAGGATGGCAAGAAGGTGACTCCCACCCAGACTGCCAAGGTTGCCTAAATGGTTTCGTTATGGTGTCTTAGGGGAATGAACAGGGTCTGGGATGAATTAGGTCATCGGAAATGGTTTCGCTTTGCATGAAAAACGGTTTTCGGCATGATTTCTCAGATAATGACTTCTATGAATTAAGTCATATTGCCATGATGAACAAACTTCTTTCGTCTTTGACCCTGCATATTATATGGTTCTACTTGAGTGATCATCCATCTTCGCGGCTTGTAATTTGAGGGTTAAATGTACCTGTCCTCTAGGTCGATCGCTCAGATTTCAATGAACCACCCAGCCGTATTGAAGCTGCTAATATGTTACCCTATCCTTTAACCAGCCTATCTCTACATAAACTTGGATACCTACCTAACTACTAGTTCAACGTAATCTGAGTCTCTAACACCCTTGAAGATCTTCCAATAAGAGAGATATATGACTTCGTAGTTGCCAAACTTCCACGTCTTGACAATCCTTGACTTACTTGTAACTCGTGTAGAATTTTGTATGCTCAAGTCCCAGTCGCATATCCATAAACAATTCCATAATTCATTCGAAGGGGGATGATCGCTTGTTAATACTCCTGCCCTATTAGAAGTCTATCAAACTACTATTACCTAGGGGTCTTTTAACAAGAAAACGCTAAGGCGTCTGGCTATATAACCTGTAACGAAGTTCCTAGCGCCCACAAATTACTTCCCCGATCAACGGGCAAAAAAGAAAATAATCGAATAAAATTAAAACAATAGACAAGTAACAACAGCAAGAAACTAAGAACACAAAAAGAGCAAAAATTGGACACGCGGGGAATTGAACCCCGGACCTTCAGCATACACTATTGCGCTGTCGACAGGATAATCCTACAATGTAAGTCCTGTAAACTGGAGCAGTGCGAAGCAGACGTCATACCCCTAGACCACGTGCCCGACAATCCCTATTGGAGGATGGTGGATTGACTCCTTTGTTTGCTTATAACCTAGGCTTGCTTTTCTCTCGCCTGTTTGCGGGGAATGGTCGAGCTTAGAAGCTTCTAAGGTTAGAGGTGTTTGTATGTTGGCCAATAGCGTAAAGGCATGCAGCAGTGTGGGACAAATCCAGGGACTGTACAGCCCGAAAGCATGAATAGGGGTTTCATCCATTGATTACTTTAGCCTACCTAGCTTTGGTTTGACTATTTGACTTTCTTACCTCCTTGAAAGCTATACTTACTCTAAAATGTGTGTGGCTATCTTAGAGAGATGAAGCTAGGCTAGGTACACTGTACGGCATATCATCAAATTTAACAATAGTATCTCTATTTTAACCGAAGTTCTATAACCGGTGAATCTAAAAGTGCATTCGCTCAATACCTACTGTAAATGATCATTACGGCGCATATTAGAAAAGAATGAGAATCATCTAGGTTTCGTAACACGCAGAAGCCGAATCATAGAAAACTGTCTGGGTTAAACCACCCACGGATAAAATCACACGGTGACCTCGAAAGCACATTCGATATAGTGGAAGCCTCATTTCTAAAAGCAGAGAATTAACCAAAGCATATATTCATTTCTACCCGACCTTGCTCAGGTCCAGGATTGGATATTCATTTCATCACACGCCTTCCGTATCAATCCCGTGGCCGGCCAGGCGTCATTCCCCATCCTAAGCATCATAGCCCGTTCATTTCATGCCCCGCGCGCAAATCATTCATTATACAAATACTAAGTGCCCAACCGGAACTCGTCTCTCATCCTCGTTCGTCATCATGAAGTCACAGTTTGGCCGCCATTGTGCTGCGCCCGCGGCACCCCGCGGCTGATGAAGTCGCGGTTCTCGATCGTGACGCTCTTGGTCATATGGTTTACCTTGTAGACGCCGACCAGCCGAGCGGCGAGCTCGAACATGTTGTTTCGTAGAGAGATGACGACGAATTGGGCGTTCTTGGTGCGCTCCTTGATGTAGTTGGCCACGATGGACACCTAATCATATTACCGTTAGCATTCTACAATACAGAAGAATCATTGCAAAGAGTATAAGGGAAAAAAGGAAGAAAGGAAAAATGGAAATACTCACATTCCTGAAATCCAGGGCGGCGTCGATCTCGTCCATGACGTATAAGGGCGTCGGCTTGTAATGATGTAGAGCAAACACCAGCGCGAGACTGGACAGCGTCTTCTCACCGCCACTGAGATTGCTAATATTCTTCCAGCTCTTCTTGGGCGGCATAACCGAGAATAGAATCCCCTCGCTGAAGGGATCCAGACTGTCGACAAGTTCCAGCTCGGCGTTGCCGCCCATCGTGATCATCTGGTACATCTCCTTTAGCCGGAGAGAGATGGTGCTGAAGCCTTCCATGAAGCCCTCCAATCTGAGACGTCGTAGATCGTCGCACCGCTTCTTGGCAGCGTCACGCTGCTGGACAGCGCTTGCTAGGTCAGACGAGCGGGCTGCGTGCTCCTCGACTCGGCGGCGGTACTCAGATAAGACGCTGACGTCGACGTTGACATTCTGCGTCTTCTCTTCGAGAGCAGCGATCTCGGCCTTCAGGGTCTCCTTGTTCATGTCCTTTAGCTCATCCTCTGTGAACCGCGGAAGTTCTTCAGGCTGCTGCTCCTGCTCCTGCTCCTGCTCTTCTTCTTCTTGAACCTCGGTAGGCTCTTCTTGACCTTCCTCCTGAGTTGATTTCTTAGCTGGTGGCGGGCCGCTGATATCGCTGACATTTTGGAGCACAAGCTTGTTGAGTTTCTCGTCCCAGTAGCGCAGACGCTTCTGGTTTTCGACGAGAACTTTCTGGTTCTCCTCTAGCTTGTTACGCATCTCGATCTCGACGGCTCGGGTTTCGTTGAGTTCCGATGTTTTCTCGTCTAGCTCGGCCTTCAAGGTAGAAAGCTCCTTTTTCGTATCTGCAAGTTCTGCCTCGGCCTCCTCAACACGGGCGTTCAAGGATTCGGACTTGCTACCTTGGTTCTCGACCTCTTCCTCGAGCTTCTCAAGATCGCGCACAGCAGCTTCCAGCTCCCTGGTAGCCTTGGCATGGTCTTTTTCGAGTTTTGTCTTTGACTTCTCCGCCTTTGCTTTCTTCACCTCGGCGTTGGAAGTCTCCTCGTTGTGGGATGATATCTCCTCCTTGATAGAATCGACCTTGGCGCGCTGAGCACGAAGCTTCTCGCCGCCAATTTCCATGATCTTGTCCTGCAATTCCTTAATCTCCGCCTCCACGCCTTCGGTTTCGGCATGAAGCTTCGTCACTTCCTTGTTTAGCTTGGAAATCTCCTTCTGCAGAACGGCTACCCTGTTGTCGTCGGTCTGCGATGGCTGGTGTTCCTTGCTCAGCTCCTTGACGCGTCGCTGGGCATCCGCAAGGTTTTTCTCCGCGCTCTGCATCTCGAGGCCGATCTTCTGCATCTTAGTATCCAGCTGAGGAATCTGGTCCTTCAGATATCTGAGACGAGATTCAAGTTCTCGTTGGTGATCCTGGAACTCTTGGAACTTTGCCTCGATGGAGTCACGGTCGCTTTCGAGCTTGGTGACTTGCTCCTTAGACGTATCAGCCACAAGCTTACTCGACATCAGACCTCTCTTGACGGTGCTTCCACCTCCGGACATGGTGCCGCTCTTGTCAATAAGCTCTCCGTCAAGCGTGACGACCCGCCATCTCTTGGCGCCGTAAGCGATTCGATTCGCCTGAGCTAAGTCCTTAGCGACTAGGGTGCCTTGTAACGCATGATAGAAAGCAGGCCGGAATCTGTCTTCTTTGGCCTTGATCAGATCAAACAGACGTGGGGCATTTTCGGGAGTCTGAATAGGCTGAAAATCGCGCGCACGATGCTTATCTAGACACATAAAGTTGCCTCGCCCGAGGTTGGTCTTCCGGAGATATTCTATGCATTGCTGGCCGGCTTCTACTGTGTCGGTAACAAAATTGTCGAGAGCAGGACATGCTGTAGAGATAGCAACATCGTACTGCTCGTCGATCGTACCGAGATTTCCAAGACGGCCGTGGAAACCGTCGATGCGTCCGGACTCTTTCATTCGCATTAATGCCGTAAGCACGTTGCCTCGGTTTTGGTTCTGAGAGAGGCTGGATCTCGCTTCCTCTGCCTTTTGCCTAGCATTTGATACTTTAGAGCGAACATTCGGCTCCAGCTGAGCCATGCCCTCAAGGTCAGCTTCGACTTTCTTCGCTTCCTTCTCTAGTTTTGCCTTCTCAGCTTGACACTCCTTTAATTCCGAGAGTTTAGCCGTGCGACCTTCCTCGATATTAGCAATCTTGGCTTGCATCTCCTCGAGGGCAACGGCGCCGGCGTTAGCTTTCTCCTCGAGAATAGCCATCTCAGACTCGGCGACAGCGATGGCCGACTGTTTCTGATTGATCTTCTCTTTCCAAGGCTCGAGAGATTTCTGTTTGATAGCAATTTGATCCGAGAACACCTGAGTTTTGCCTTTTAGGCTATCTCGTATCGTCGCAAGTTCTACCTCTTCCTCTTGCACTTGCTGTTCGAGGCTTGTGATCTCTTCGGCGCGAGAAGCAATCTCTTCGGTGCACTGCTCGATGGTCTCCTCGGCTTCAGCTGTAGAATTCTCAGCATTAGTAATGGTCTTCTCGAGCTTCTTCTGTTTGTCGGTCAAAAATTTTCGTTTTTCGTCAAATTTGACCCTTTCTTGCTCGAATTTGGCCGCTTCCTTGACAAGAGTCTGGGCATTCTTCTCTTGGGACTCAAAATCTTTAGATCCTTTAGCGTATGCCTTTTGCAGCTGCTTTATGACCTGTTCGCTGCCCTGATGCTTCTCAAGCTCGTCATCAAGCTGTGCCTGCATCTGACTAATAGCTTCTTCTGTGACATTCACGTTGTTGTTGCATTCGCCGATGTACACCTGGTAGAGCGCCGACTGCTTGAGGGTCAAATCGTTTTCATCTCGAATGTAGGCTAGAGCCTTATTCTTTTTATCCTCGAGACTGTTCTTCTCCTTTTCTACATGCTGGACACGTCCGCTCTTCTCCATGCAGATTTCATTGAGAGTCTCGACTTCCGTTGCCGCCTCTTCGATAGGGGTTTTGTACTTGGATGTGCCGATGATATCTTCAAGATACTCCAGTAGACCATCTTCATGCTCGTTGGCAGCTTTGGGCTTCATCTGAGCAATCGACTCGACTTCACCCTGTAAAATGAGGAATCGCTTGTGGTCGAGATCAATTCCCCGGTTTCGGAGGAGAGTTGTCACAGTAGTGAAATTAGACTCGCCACCGTTGATGTAGTACTTGCTCGAGTTGTTCTTGAAGGCCTTTCTCGAAATGACGATCTGAGAGTTAGGGATTATTTCTGTTCCGCCGCCAGGCTAGCAGTAGAGTTAGTATAATAGCTTCACGAGTAAATGTACCATGTAAGACTAACCAGGTCCATAACCTCCTGGAAATGTACTGCCACTTCACAGTGATCCAGGTTCGGAAAAGCGGCGGAGTTATGGATCAAGGCTGAGATCTTGCCCTGTCGCATCTTGCTAGCCCTGAATCCAAAGACGAACAGAAGTGAATCGATAACATTCGACTTGCCAGAACCGTTGGGACCCACTACCGAGGAGAAGGAGGAGTGGAACGGACCAACTTCTTGTCGACCAGCGTAACTCTTGAAGTTGTTCAAGATCAGATATGTGATGACGATACGAGCCTTAGGCCCCGTCTCCTCGACTACCGGCATTGCCATCTTACGCGACTTCAGGACAATATCCATAGGCTTCTCTAGGATGGTATCCATCGGCCGGATAGGTTTGACTTGTGTGATAGTCTCGTCTGGGGACTGTTCTGGCTCGTTAATACTCTGGCTGGTGATATCAGCTAAGGGAGTGCCATGGAGCTCGGATGGTTCCTCAGATTGAGCGGGCGTCGGCATATGAGGTTGAGTATCGGGCAGACTCTCAGGAGTGGCCTCTTTGCTGACTTGGCGCG